GGCTTTAGTTTCTCAGTGCTGTGCTTTAACCCACTGCGCCACCAGGGAGGGCCCTCACAGGATGTGATCTTTTGGGACATACCATTCAAGTTCATTCAAGTCCTTGGTAGGGACAGGTTTACAAAATAAATCCTGAATTTCTCCAATGCTTCTATATAAAACAGTAGATTCTTGTGTGCTATCCAGGTCACTCCTAGGATGTTGCTCTCCTATTCTTTGTATTTGCTTCTCCTTGCTGTTTTTGGCTGCTGCTGGTGGTGGTACCAAAATTATCACCATTTTGCCAGGAACCTTCACATCCTCTTACATAATCTAGAATCTATTCTATTCTTGTTACTTAATGCTTGTGTAACTATAAGGAAGTTCCTTAGATGCTTAGACTAAGTTTTCTCCAAATTCTAATCATTTATATAGGAAGTGTAGTGTTAGAAAATTTAATCTTATTCAGAAATATATAGTTATGTATCTTCTTGATGCAAGATATTTTAATAGGTACAATACAGACTATAACAATAAATAAAGCAGTCTTTATCCTCAGTGAGCTTAACTGAGTCAATGTGACAAACTTTCTAAGCCATTTATTTCTTAACTTTCAATCAAAGGAATTAGCTATGGACCTTTCCTTGCAGCCACAAAAATTCACATTTCCATTTTCCTACTGTGGGAGGTGTAATTGTAATTTACCAATAGTCCCAGATGCTGTACTCTGAAATCCATCACTATGTTGGTGCAAAAGCCACAATTCCCAGTGACTACTTCTAGCCAATGACTCAGTGTGGTAGTGATACTTAAGCCTGCTCCTGGGAGTTCTAGGACTTCGCTGACACACGGCTTTGGCTAAGAACTCGCCATCAACCTTGTTGAACTTTCTCACAACAGTCCTGCAAGCTAAGACTTTACTTCATCGTCCTTCCTTCCCACTCTTCTTCAATGTGGTTACACTTGAGTCCCAGAGGAAGGCATTCTTAGTCTCCAGTGGCTTCCTCCCAAAATTCCCTCACAGGCATTTCCCCTAATAAATTTCTTGCATGTCCTTTTATAATCACGCCTTCTCAGAGGTCACAAACTATCACACCTGTTACATGAACTGCAGGCATACAGTTACTGATTTAAGGTAGTTCAGGAACAGGTTAATCAATGAAAAGAAATTGGTTTGAAACATCCAGCAGCTCTCAGAGTTGAGAATCTGAATCTCTTTAACTTGATGAGAGAAGAGTTGAGTAAATATTTAACCTATTCCTTATTGAAATGGCAGTGAAATAAGCTTACTAATGGATCATTCAAGGGAAATGCTCAGGTAATTAATTTTCTCACTAAGTCTGGAACAAGTGTCTGATGTTCCATTAGGATAGGGCTTAGTGAACTGTGACCCACAGGCCAAAGTCAAAATCCTCCTGCTATCTCTTCTTTTTTGTAAAGTTTTGTTATTCATTTAGCTAGAGAACTTTTTTATTCCTCTAAGCCAGTTATCTTTTTCCCCGTTATTTATTTTTTACATCATTCTTCATTTGTACATTTTACCATCTCAGTTGTAGTCCCTGTGGGTTTCCCACCTCCAGTTCACTCATATGCCATCGACATAGCCCCAGTTTTTAAGTTTTTATCCCATTCCCTTTCCACCCCATACCATGTCTCTGGTTTATATTTGTTTTGTTTTGTTTTGTTTTTGTTCTCATTTTTACTTTATTACATTTGCTTCTCCCTCTTCTCCCCCCACCCCAATCCCTTACACCAATCCCTATGAATGAAACCATCCAGTATTTTTTTCTTTTTCTTTCTGGCTTATTTCACTAAGCATGATCCCTTCTAGCTCCATCCAGGTTGCTGCAAAAGGCATGTGTTTATCTTTTTGATTGCTGATTATTATTCTATTGTGTATATGTACCACATCTTTTTAATCCATCATCTATTTTTGATTTGATTCTACATCTTCCCTTTTGTAAATAGTGTAGCAATATACATGAGGGTGACCTTTTGAATCGAGGTTTTTGTGTAATTAAAGTTTTATTGAATATACCTACACTCATTCACTTATATATGGTATGTGACTATTTTCTCCATGCAGTGGCAGAATTCAGTTGATCCAGAAATGATGTGTCCCATGAAGCCAAAGATATTTACTCTCTGGCGTTTTACAGAAAATGTTGACCAACCCTACGTGAGGAATAAATTAGAATAGATTTTGTCTGTCTTTTTCATTGTTCAGTCCTTAGGCTTTAGAACAGTACTTAGTACACAGTAGACTTTCAAAAATACTTGTCAAATGAATAACTAATAATAGTCTCTTCATTTTTTAGATTTTATCCCAATGCTCCCAAGCCCAAGCACAATATCCTAGTGGTTGTGTGCTGATGGTAATATATATCTACAAGTAGCTGATGTATCACAATAGTACTTTGAATATCAAAGATACAAAGTGACTTTGCTTGGTTCATAGTATTCTGAATAAGACTATAGATTGAAACTATTTTCTCTACTTTGAGGAACATGAGAAATCTTCCTACCTTCTACTCTGTATTGCTAATTTACTATTGGCGAAGAGAGAGAAATTGAATGCCATCAATTTCAGTAACAAGAATATCTCATGGTGATCTGAAAAAAAATTTTTTTTGATAGACTAAGGGAAGGTAACTCTCTGCAGTTATATAAGCTTAGGAGAAAACTCAGATCCTGGAGATCTTTCCCTGTTTCCATTCTGATTCTGCAGTGAGTTTGTGTGACCTATGTTGGACATAATACCTTCTACCTATAATTGCTGTTTCTGTAATGTAAGTATTATCTATATGAAATTCCATTACCCAATATGTGCCTCTATAAAATATATTAATGATATAATATTTATATAATATATGTAAATAATATAAAAAAAATTTCAACTGATTGTGAATTTAGTATAATATATTATAAAATATT